TGGACCTTTCAAGTCAAAAAAGTGACATTTTCGAACAAATTGAGTGCACATACAATTTTTTTGTGTATTTTCAAATTTAGTGACATTTGTGAAAATCTCCCGAGTTCATTTGTTAATTTTGGTTTGAATTTCCTTTATGTTTTTGTATTGTTTGGATTTGATGTGAAGTATTTGGTGCGGACAAGGTCTTCATTGATGAAATGATAAACCCATTTTTGAACTCATTTGTCAATTTTGGTGTGAAATTTTCTATTTTAGTTTTGTTCGGATTTTGTGGGATGTATTTGATGGATGAGAATTAAAGATGAGTGTAAAGAAGTTGTCAACATTTACGAATAGCAAAATGATAGTGGAATAGATGACTTGTAGTGTGCCGAGTGCTCACAAATGACTCTGATACCAAGAAGAAAATATGAAAAGAACTTTAAAAATGAATAAAAGATTTGATTATAACATTATTGACTGATGACCATAGGCCATGAGCACCTAACACGCATAATAAGCTCAACAACTCTCTATAACTAGTGTTTATCCAAAAAATAGATAACTATCAAATAACAAATTAATAACTTTGTATTTATCATTTGGTTTTAATTTGACAATTTTATCACTCCAAGATTTTCTGATCTACTTATCGCTCCTTTGATTCTCTCATTTCTGTTGCCAGTTGCATGACATTTCCAACAATGACTAATATACAAATGGGACAATCTCATGAAGATTCAAGAAATTTATCGATGCAGTTTTTTTTTTTTTTATCCTTTTTCGGTAGTGTTTTCAATTTTTTCTTTCCCCATCCTTGGAAAATTTGAATCACTCTGGCTGATTTTGGAGTGTTTCAGCACAATCAACTGCTTTTTACAGCAGATTATTTCCCCATTTTGCAATAAAATTCAAAAAATTTTGAACTTTGCCAGCCAAAATTCAAAACTTTCTCTATTTGTTTTCAAATTCCAAACTATTTTCCTGCTTTTTTATACGCTATATTCAGACAGTATTTCACACATCATTTAAAGTATTTCGAATGATCCTTTGCTAGAGGTCAAGAATTTTCGGCTTTGTTCTTAAGTTGTGCCTGCTTGCCTGGAAGGTTTCTGCATCTCTTCAAGCTATTTGAATGGATTAATTGCAGCCATAGTCCCAATTTTTTTAAAATGTGCAAACGAGTCTCAAATAAATTATTAAAAATTAGAAATTATTTTTTAAAAAAAAATTACAAACGAGTCTCAATTAAATTTATTAAAAAAAGTGTAAGTGAGTCCCAAATAAATTATTAAAATATTAGAGAATAAAAAATAATTTTTTTATTTAAATTGGAGGGCATATTCATCGTTTCACAGTTCTTTATTGAGAAATTGAATGAAAATGTATAGAAATAATGGTTTGAACAATCAAATGTGTAATTAAGGATGGAAATATCAAAAAAAAAAAAAAAATGAAAGATGTGTATGTTTTTCGTATAATAGTGAAATGTATGGACATTATGTGCTAATTACCCTTTTAATAATTTATTTGGGACTATTTTGCGTTGTTTAAAAAATTTTGGGATTATAGTTGCAATTAATTTTTTTTCCTTTTTGTTTTATTTAAAAAGAATGGTATATTCGTCATTTCAAATTTTTTTAATTGAGAAAATTGATGAAAATAACCTTTTGAGCAATGAAATGTGAAAATAAAGGTGAAAATGTCAAAATAATTCGGCAATGACGTTTCCCACAATAATATTGAAAGGTGGAGATATTATGTGCTAATTACCCATAAGAAGTGAAGTGCCCCATAAGCTAAGGACGAGCTATATGTATAATTTCCGTGAGCTGCGATTCAATGATAATCGCGAACATGAAAATGGTCTCAAGCTCCAAACCTTTCAAGTAGGGTTGGGCAAAATGTCTGAACCGAATCGAACGGGTTTTCCTAAATTAAAAGTCCGAACGGGTATTTGAATCGAGAACCGATGAGTTTGGTTTGGTT